TAGTTATTTCATGTGTGTGTGGATAGATTTATTTTTTTTTTTTTTTTTTTTTTTTTTTTTTTTTTTAATTTAAATTACACGCATTAAATGTTGAATTGTGCTATTCATAGGCACGGGAGACAACACACCATAATGCCATCCAATGTCAACTATCGAGCCAACATTTGGGCCCTGAGAGAAGAAGGCTGTACACATCTGCTGGTTACCACTGCCTGTGGCTCTCTCCGGGAGGAGATCCAGCCAGGAGATATTGTCATCATAGATCAGTTCATTGACAGGTTAGTTCTGCGAGTCCATTAGTAGGTTAAGATTCAGACATACGTTTTCTGACACATCATGAAACTAGGTTATCTTTCAGGAAAAGTAGAGCATTAAGTGTAGGCGGTGTCCCGTTTTTGTAGGTGGAGTAAAAACCTGGTGATAATTCCTATGAACACTTCCTATATAGAGTGTGGAGCTGATCAACAGTTCAGTACAGGGATGGCAAAAAAAGAATAGGGAAAATAGTTTTGATATTTTTTTATTTTTTTTCTTAGATAAACAAAGACCTCTACTATTCAAATATGAAAAAGGAGCTCTGCACCACACTCAGGACTTTCAATCAAACATGTAGATTAAACTCTTAACCCAACACTTGCATTCTTGCATGGCTAGGTGTATCTACTAAAACTCTCAGATGAGTTTGAATCCTCGTGACCTCAAGCTCCAGGTCAGATGTGAAGTTTCTGAAAATCTTGTGAATGCGATAACAAAAGGAAGTCTAAAAGATTAATATGGTGTGACAGCGCATTCATAGTTTCTGTGTACTGATTGAACTAAACTAGCAGAACAGATTTGTCTTTTGAGTATATAGACAGACCAGTTTTTGCTAAATGTTTATTTTTGTTCCTATATCTAGACTGACTCTGTCAGAAGTCATTATTAGTGGTTATCCTGTGAGTCTGTTGTGCATCCTCCCACAATATCGCAGGGATTACTGCTACTGGTAATCCCTGTGATTAGGTTTTCTAATTATTAAATTAACTTCATGCTTGCAGAATTCTGTTGCGGAATACCATGTTTACATTGTATTCACATTAACACATTGGCCAGGTTACTGGATAAGCCTAGTTAAATGTTAGTCTAGTCTGCCACAAGTCTTACAATCGTCTTCATTATAACGTTCACATTAGAGCAGGGGTGTCAAACTCAAATACACAGTGGGCCAAAATTCAAAATGGAACAAGGTCGCGGGCTAACGTTAATATTTATTGAAAAAAAAATCTTCCTCCAGATATAAGAATGAATCTTTTCTTATAGACTCAAACAAGTTTAGCTGAAAAACTGAATATGGAACAAGCAAAGCTTAATACTAAACAATATATATATTAGCTGTATAATACCAGTAGGCCAGCTCTAATAGTAATTTGGTATGGCTTCGTGGGCCAAATGTAATGAGGCTGCGGGCCAAATTTGGCCTGTGGGCCAGAGTTTGACACCGATGCATTAGAGCACGGTGAGAGTGGTGTTTGAATTTGTTTTTCTTCAATTTAGAGCTTGCAGTTAGGAGGGAGAGATAAGTGGTGTGGGATGTTTTTTTTTTTTTTTTTTTTTTTTTTTTTTAAAAGCAATTGGACCACTTTGTTTGTTTGTTTTTTTTGTTTTTTTTTATTAAAGTAGACCATTTCAAATTTGATTTATTTGCACACATAAATAGGCATCATGGTGGTAATTGGCCTAACCCTAAAAACATCAGATCCTTTACATTGAAGGTTAAAGTCTGGTTAAAGGGAAATCAGATGTAGTCATTTGAACTAATGATTTTAATTTTATTTTAAATTATTGTCTATTAATTGTATTTATGATGTAATTTGGTTTTATGAAAATGTATGTTTTATTGTTAAATGTACCTATTTTGATTGTAAGCCCAACAAGGGATGATTGTTGAAAATTAGCAATAGCTATAAACCTATGGGCGTTAGTTCAAGTACAAAACTGATGTATGTTAAACTGCACTGTCCCTTTTTAAATAACAAAATAAACAAACACATTTGAAGTCCTATTCCAAACAAACAAGCTCTTGAATAATCAGGTAGTACTGTTTTACCCCAGCAGAGCGCTTTGCTCTCAGACTGCAGGTTTACTTGTGGTTCCAAGAGTTTCTAAAAGTAGAATGGGAGGCAGAGCTTCAAATCAAAACCAAATCAAAATTTATTTCTATAGCACATAATAATACAACAAAGTTGACCAAAGTGCTTCACAGTCGGTCAGAGCAATAGCATAAGACAGAATAAAAAGAAACAGTTAAAAGGAGGGCAGGAAACAACATGGATTAAAAAACAAAAACATAACTAGCCATGAAATAACATACTAGTTTGAATCAAAAGCCAGACTAAAATAAGTTTTAAGACGCAATCTAAAAGACTGGATGGACTCAGAGGAACGAATATAAGGAGGGAGGTTATTCCAGAGTCTGGGAGCTACGACAGCAAAGGCCCGATCACATCTGGACTTAAGACGAGACCTCGGTTGCGTCAGGAGCATTTAATTGGAAGATCCAAGTGCCTTATTAGGGATATACAAATGGAGGCATTCGCATAGATAACTGGAAGCCAAATTGTTTAAAATTTTAAAGGTAAGCAAGAGAATTTTGAAATTGATACAATATTCTACAGGGAGTCAATGTATGTTGGCTAAAACTGGTGTGATGTGGGCATAATTTCTAGTACCAGTTAGAGGCGCAGCTGCGTTTTAAACTAACTGGAGCCGGTGAATAGAGGAAGATGGGAGGCCCGAGTAGAGGGAATTACAGTAGTCTAACTTGAAAGTGATAAGAGCGTGAATAAACTTTTCAAGGTCCTACGAAGGGAGGTATGGCTTTGTCTTAAATATCTGACGCAGCTGGTAGAAACGGTGGGTTTTTTTTTTTTTTTTTTTTTTTTTT